CCAGGGTCAAGTGAAATAATAGATGTAAAGTCCTTAACACTGGTGCCTGGTTCTTAGAAGGTACTTGATGTTTGTTCCTGTCCCTCCCTATCCTGTCCTGGGCCCTCTTCTCTTTTCCTCTAGGCCTGGTTTTGCTTGGTGATCTCATCAGTTCCCCATTGAATTATTATCTCTATGCTGATTATTCCAATCCAATCCAATCAACATTTGTCCAGCCTTGAAAGAAAAGCATGGTTATAAACATTAAAGTGCTATATAAATGTGAGCTATTATTAGCTTTAATGACTGTGTTGTAATACTGACACCTGGTATCAGAACATCACAAATTGCAGGAGGCAGGGAAGGTAGTAGCATTAAAAGGGATTAGAGAGGGCAGCTAGGTGACACAGTAGATAGTACTGGCCCCAAGTCAGGAAGACCTGAGTTCAAATCTGGCTTCAGACCAAACATTTGACACTTACTAGCTATGTGACCTAGGCAAGTCACTTAATCCCAATTGCCTAAAAAAAAAAAAGGATTAGGAAAGGCTTCTTCTAGAATGCAGGATTTAACTGGGACTTGAAGAAAGCTAGGAAAGCTTGGAGATGGAGATGAGGAGGGAAAGAATTCCAGGAATAGGAAACAACCAAAGAATTATGCCTAGAAATAATAAATGGGAGGGAAAGCAACGTAGCCAGTGTCACTGGGTTTTGGAGAACATGGCATAAGACTATTGACAGAGAAAAGGGGAATAAGAGGTGTTAAGAAGATAGAATTCACAGAACTTGTTGACAGATTGAATTGGAGGGTGAGGGTGAAGATTCAAGGATGACATCTAGGTTACATGCCTAGGTGACTGATGAGAGGATGGTGATACTCTCAAAGTAATAGGAAAACTAGGGAGAGGAGAGGGCTTCTGGGAAACCTGAGCTCTAATGTGAGGGAGGCTAGGTTCCCTGTTTTCATACCCTTAACACCAACCCGGGCACCCTGAAGATGGCTGATTTTACTTTTAGCTTAGGTCGTGACTCATGTCTAGGGTCTTCTCAAAAGGGTGCAGTAAAAAGCTGTACTGTATACATTATGAGCAGGTATGGGAATACTCTTTCACCTATTAGGAAAAAACACAATAGAGACACTCCAAACCCAAGTTCAGGCTTACCTCTAGGCAGGACATGTACTCATGGCCAGTCCTTTCTCATCCCTCACTGGAAGTCTTACATGATGCCACTTTCAGAGAGACTGGCCAGGAATCTGTCTCTTCTTTTTATAGACACAGCACTCTGTTCCCCTGCCTCTATTATAGAACCCAAACTAGATGTCTAGGTAATGGGAAAAGCCACTACCAGCATGTGTGCCCTAACTCCCCTGTCTTATCCCTTTGCCTTCTCCCCTGGCCCTATCTCAGAAGGCCAGAAAATAGGAGGAGCCACCATTATTGGGATATACCCTATCCTCTTCTCCCCCAGCCCCCTTTCTTTACTTCCCTGGCTAGGCTGCTCTAAAACCCACCAGCAACGGCCAAGCATGAAAAGTACCCTATTCCTTTATCTTTCTTGTTGCTTAGGCTGCTTGACTGATCATCCATTTTGAATGAGATGGAAATCAGCACTTCCATTCCTTTCAATGAGATAGAGGAACACCTGTGCCTCTAGGTCCTACAGATCCCCAGTATCGCTATCTTAACTACTTAAGTAACTCACAGACCTCCAGGCCTTAGCATCTGCACTGCAGGTACATGCTTAGGACTTCTAGTTCTTTACATATGTCAGGAAGCTGAACTTTCTTTTATGTGTTGTCTCTCCCAATCAGAGTGTGAGCTCCTTGTGAGCAGGAAACTCTAGCCTTTTCTGTTTGTTTCTCCATGCTTATTACGTGCTTGACACTAGTAAGTAATTAACAAATGCTTTTTCATTCACTTCATTCATTCATAAGGTGGGAGAGGACCAAGGGACCATTCAAGTTGTGCTGTTGTTATATCAAAATAAAAAATACTTTCATCATTAGGTTACCACATAGCCAGATGCAGGCCCTGTAGATCCCGAATGGTCAACTGGAGCTAGCAATGGCCATTCTAAGTGTATTGAGTGGTTTTGCCCAACACTCTTCCAGGGTTCTAGAGATACTTCTGAGGGGTTGGAGTCTTATTCTCTAATGCCATTGGTTTGAGGCCTCCACCAATGTACCTCCTCTCCAAGATTATCAGTTGAAAAACATTTAGTCAAGTCAGACTGAAGTAGCTTTAATACAGGGACATTTACTAAAGAAAAACAGTTAGTACAAAACATTTACCCAAAATTCTGTGATATATTTTGCCACAAGTACATACAGAGAGGAGGGAAAAGTGGGCTTAAACTTAGAGCTCCCATTCATAGAGTGCTCAAGAAGTTTCCTTTAGATAAAGTGTATTCTCTTTGCTGGGTTCCTTGGCAGAACTCTGAGTCTAGTCTCTCCTTGGTTTTAGATCAAACATCTTGTCTGAGTCATTTCACTTCATCAAATGTCTTTCAAAGACTTTTGCACTTGGTCTAAGTCAGGGGTTCTTAACCTGAGATCCTTGGAACTTGTTTTTTAAATGTTTTGATAACTGTATTTCAATATAGTATTTCCTTTGTAATATTTGCATTTTATTTTACACATTTAAAAACATTTTGAGAAAAGAGTTCACCAGACTGCCAAAGAGAGGGTCCATGACACAAAGAAATTTAAGAACTCCTTGTCTGAGTCTTTTTATGGACTGATTGAGCCATGTTCCCACCTAGTTAAGATATCAAGCTAAAACCTGAGTGGGGTGGTTTCCAATTCATTCTTACATAAGTATCCTCTATGAGATGGCCCCTAGAGGCCAATTCAGCTTCCTATATTCTTAATACATTCATGGACTATTTAAACTTTCTAGGCTTTTACCAACATGGCCTTAAAATTTCTCTCTTATGTCTTCCTTATTGTGAAACTTATATTACTTTTTATGTACTTATATTATCTCATTTGTTCCTCACCACAACTTTTAAAGGGCTTACTACAGGTATTTCTATTTTAAATCAGACATAATTTCATTGGTATAGGACGACACTGTAAAACACAGGACAGAAGCACATTTCAGCCTGCAACATTCAACTAGATTAAAATATAATTGGGAAATATTTAACAAAATAGATAAAAATACAATAGAATATAGATAATGTGGTTCTCTAAGTCAATATGTAGCCATCAGGGATCCTTATGTAAGGTTTAGTGGGCCCCATTTCTATATGAGTTTAACTCCACTGGTTTAGGAAACTCTTAATGAAGCAATTCCCTCTACCAGTGTAGAAACAGATAGTTCTGCAAGAAATAGCCAGCCATATTTATACATTTATACATATTTATATTTATACATAAATTTCTCCAGCCACCTTTTCACTTCTTACCAAAGAGCATGATCTTTTTCCTTTCTACTCTGCTCTCCAGTTCTGAGACCATGATCAAATCTGAGAACTATGATCAAATCAGTTCTGCCACTGTTCCTGGATGAACTCCTCTGCTGTCTCACTCACTGTCTTTAACTTTCAGTAACAAACCTACATTTTCCTTTGTACAGTATGTGGTTCCATTAATTAGAATGTAAGATTAGCACAGTGCCTGACAATGTATTGTTAGCACTTAATAAATGTCTGTATACTTGACTTGCTTGTGCTTAGCTCTTTTATGAGCAGTCTTTACATTTGTATTTGTATTCCCAGCACTTAGCCCAGTACTTGCCATATAGTAAATGCTTAATAGTCAAGTTAAGGAACATTCATTAAGCTCCTACTAGGTGCTAGACACTGGGCTAAGTCCTGGGGATACGCTTTTTCATTTACTCACTACTACTCCATTTCATAAAAATTATTATCCCCGTTTAATAAAATGGGAAACTAAAGGTTAACTGACTTGCCTATAGTTACACAGCTAATAATAGAGACCGAACTTAACCCAGGTCACTGATGAATTCAAGTCCAAGATTCTTACCACTACAACTCAATGCCTTCTTTAGTTCCAGAGGGACAACTGTGCGCAAAATCGCCTTCCGGCTGTTTCCTCCAACACAGAACTATGAAAACGGGCAATCCTAGGGGTGTTAGTCAGATTGTAACTTATCAAGTAGAAAGGAAGGGGAAGTAATAGGGTTTACAGAACGAGCAGGAAGGAAGCGGCCATAGAGAACTACAGAACAGGCCGGTAACCCGAGACAGTGGATTGGGGATGCTCCAGGGAGCGAGTCTCCCTTAAGCGGAGGGAAATCTAAGCAGTCTGGGCCCTGATCATCTTCTTCCCGGGAGAGGGATGTGGAGAGAAGCCAAGAAGAAAAGGCGCTTTGCCCTGGCTCAGGGATGTGCTGGAGTCGGCTCGAACTGGCTCTCGGAAGCTGATACGTGGTTAAAATTTCAGTTTGAGCATTTATACTTCGGAAGTAGGCAAATGGCAATAAATGTGTCGAGAGCAATTTTTTTTCGTAGAGTTGGTTACTAAACATTTACCAAGACATCACTGTATCACCCACAGACAAACCTCTCTATTCTGCACCCCTGCAGCAGACTCCAGCGCCATTGCTGACTCGTTCTCGGCTTGCTTTATAGGTATTAGACTAGGGCAATCAGCGACAGGGTTCTTCCTTCTTCCCGAGTTGAGGGCCAGAGGAAAAGATCTTCCGGAAACTAGGAACCCTCCCCTTTTAAGGATCTCGCTGCAGAAAGAGCCGGCAGCGTCTCGGTATCCACGGCAACACAGCGGGCCTATACGTCACTTCCGTGGAGCTGTCCTGACTCCTGACCGTTGGGAGGAAAGGGGAACGCTGAGCAATAACAGCCACGACGGTGGACGTGAGCGTCTTCTCTCTGCGCATGCCCCCGCAGAGCGGCCTGCTTCTATTTATGTGGGGGATCCAACATGGCGGCCGCAGCGACCCGAGCGATGGCGGTAGAGCCGTTCAGAACATAGTGGGGGGGAAAGGGGGAAGAGTTCCTTTTGGGGGGCGGCGGCGACGGCGGCGGCGGCTGTGGCTGGTGCAGGGAAAGGAAGCAACGAAGGTAGGAAAGAAGGGAAGGCAGCGAGCCGGACAGGCGCGCGGCGGGTCGGCCAACTGGGGAGGGCCGGAGCCGTGAGGGGCGACAGTGAGGATGGCGGAGCCGCGCAGGGTGCCGTTCATTAGCCTGTCACCCGTGAGGCGGCGCGAGCTCGACTTCCCGGGGCCGGAGCGTGAACCTGATTATCCGCGGGAGCCCCCGCGCCTCGAGCCGCAGCCCTTTCGCGAGTCGTCCGGGCCGGAGCCGCCGGTGCCTCGAGACGCCCACCCCCGGTCGGAACCTCTGCGACCGCAGCAGGAGAAGCCTCCCGCTCCGCCGCGCGAAGGCAGCCGGGCTGAGCAGCCGCCGCAGCCTCGCGAGCCCCCTCGGCCCGAGCCGCCACCGCTGCCGCCCCCCCAGCTGCACCTCCCACCGCCGCCGCCGCCTCCGGCCCCGGCCCCGGCCCCGGACCGGGAAGCGGCCGTCCGTGCCGAGCCGCCGCGGCCTCTGGGGGAGACTGTGCGCCTGGAGCTGGTGCTGAAGGATCCCACCGACGAGAGCTGCGTGGAGTTCAGTTATCCGGAGCTGCTGCTGTGCGGAGAACAACGGGTATCAGACGCCCTCCCTTCTCCTTTCTCTTCATCTTTTCCTCCCTCCCTTCATCTTTTCCTCCCTCCCTTCATCTTTTGCTCCCTCCCTGCATCTTTATCTCTCTCCCTGCATCATTTCCTCTCTCCCTGCATCTTTTTCCTTCCTCTCTTCATCTTTTCCTCCCTCCTTTCATCTTTTCTTCTCTCCCTCCTTTCCTTCCTTTCTTCTTTTCCATCCCTCATCTTCTCCCTCCCTCTTAACTCGGGATGGGGGCAGCCAAGATATCCAACGTGTGGGGCCGGCGAGGCCTCTGTCCACCCCACGCCATCCTAGAATGGGGAGGAGGGGGGCCGGGAGCAGACCACACACCTCGAGGCCAGCCCTGCTTTGCTTCATTTGCCTGGGATCCCCCAAGGTTATAATAACACACCATGACTGTCCGCACCTACCCTGGAACCTGTGTAGTTTGCCTTCTTTTTCCTTTTGACCTCCCAGACTTGGAACTGGACAAAGTTGTACCCTAGGTTTTAGCTGTACAGCTTTTTCTTGTGGGAAGAAAAGATAACGTTGAGGACACTTCCCTCTAAGCCTGCAGTGAGGCAGAGAGATTGAGTAACCTTTCTCATCATCGGTTGGTGTGCTAGATCCTAAGCATTGCTAGCTTCCAAGTATTGCACGTAGGGGTGTGTAATCTTTTTCTTTATTTAAGGAGTAATGTAAGTTATTTAGTCCCGATAATTTCTCAAAGACTAGGAATTCCACTCCAGGGAAATACTTGGAGGAGGTTATCTAGTTACCTTCTTTAGTTCCTGTGGGTAAACCTTTTAAGCTCAAGTTACTATGGGACCTGCTTAGTTGGTAATTGAGGCGTGGGAAGATGCCTATCCTCTCTTCTGTTTTATGTGGCATTTTCATCATCATCATCATCATCATCATAGTTATTTTTGGCTGAACATGTGTAATTATTAATTTAAAGATCAGGAAGTGGAGGGAACTGTAATTGACCCTCATTTTTTTTGGCAGGTGATCTTGGTTTGAGCTCCTTTCACTAATTTCATTTTGAAATCTAAGAATCTTGTTTTTAATGTAATTGGTGAGTGGGTTTTGTGCTTGTGATATGTTTGTGGCTTCTCAGTAGAAAAAAGTCAAGTGTTATTTTGCCCAAGCCCCTATGCTAGGTGTTGAATATACAAAGACTACATAAGAAATGCAAATGATTACATGTGAAACAGCCCCTGCCCTCAAGGAACTTATATTCTTACAGGGTTGATATAATGTGTACATAAGTAAGTAAACACAGAGTAATAGCAGTGCTGATACCTGAAGTAGGGGATCAAGAAAGGCTGTGGAGCACCTGAATTGTGCTTTATAAGAGAATGGGGATTTTAGGCAGTGGGTGCCTACTTGTACAAGAGGTAGGAGATGAGATGTCATGCGTGAACTACAGCTTAGGAGGCCAGTTGACTGAAACCAAGATTATGTAAAGGGGAGTAATGTCAAATTAAAACAAGAAAGGTAGGTAAGGATTTAAATGGCAGGATGAGGATTTTGCATTTTATCCTAGATGCAATAGGGAGGCAGTGAAGACTTTTGGATTGGGAGAGAATATATGTGGAGTTGGGGGTGGGAAATGCAAGACATCGTCAGATTTGTATTTTAGAAGTATCAGTTTGTTGTGTGGAGGATACGTTGGAGATAGAAGAGATTGGAAGCAGGGAGGCCAATTAGGAGGCTTTCCAAGTTGTTCCTGGTGCTGGTAGTCAGACAAAGGAAGGAATGAATACAAGAGTAAAGGGGAGGCACATTTGACAGGATTTGGAAACTGATGGCCTATGAGGTAGAAGGAAGAGTCCAGGATGACTCCAGGATTAGGAACCTGGGTAACCAGAAGTATGGTGGTGCTGTTAAAAGAAATATAGAGGTTTGAGAGAAAATAGGAGTTCTCTTTTGATCGTGTTAGAGTTATTAAGATGCCTCTTGGATATCTGCCAGTCTTTGATAAAATCACAGATTAAAGTGCTGTTAGTAATAGTGAAAAAAGAATTATTGGTCCCAGATTATTTAGAATTTATATAGTTTACTGGTTGCCCAGAAACTGGGGTCTAATAACTTATTTCATTACTGGGCTTCCTGAGTATTGTTTGAGCCTGTACTTCCCTTAATAGTTAAAGTGAATTTTCATAGCTAGGTGATTATAACTGCCAAATAACACTTCCAGGCTGTATTTATTTTATAATCTGATTGATTCTTTTGACATTGTTCATTATTATACTTTGTTCTTTTACCAAAATGTGTTCAACCATTCTGAATTGTTTAGAGGCAGAAGAGTTTGAACTCATAGCATCAAGAAGAATGTTAGCTGGGAGGGACCTTTAGAGTTTTTATTTTATAGATGAGGAAACTTAGGTCCAGCAAAAGTGAATTATTTCCCCAAATATAGCAGGTGGCAGAGCTAGAATTAGAATGTAAGTCTCATGGATCCCATTACAAGGCTGTCCTCCATTTCATGCTTTGTATTATTTCCATGTTTAGATTTACTTAAATTTGACGGATTGTGTTGTTTCTTCCCCCAAATAACTTTTGAGATTGGGAAAAATAAAAAGTAAATACAAGTTAGTTTTTTCAAATTTAAGTAAATTTGCAGTTCTCAGTTTCTAAGTTCCTATCACCTTAACACCCCTCCCCCCATTTTCAAAGAAGCTACTATAATTGTGTAAATCAACATATGTAGTAACTTGCACAGGACCTCTTTCCACAACATTATAATATGTATTACATATAATTGCTTGATCTGGTTTAAATTCAGAGATTTTTCATAACTAAACTGAAATGCAGCTGATACACAATAGAAAACAGATAGATGAGGCTCTATTATAAACCATGTTTTATCATAATATTTATGACATCAAATAAATAATAGAGTTGTCTGGTGAATGTTCTAAAGTAAATGAGAAATACAGGGGAAAAACATCTTTTATGATATACTGGCTTTCCTAGTTGTTCCTGGTGATGGTAGTCAGACAAAGGAAGTTATGTCATTGCTACTATCATGTAATCAAGGGCCATTTTTTCACATTTTTTTTGTATTTTTGCCTGCACCATCAGTGTTGTTTATTGTATGTGTGTGTGTGTGTGTGTGTGTGTGTGTGTGTGTGTAGGAGCCATTTTTGTTTACCCTAGTAGGTACAGAGTTAGAAACGTAATTAATATGTTTTGGTGAGATGACATGTTATTTCTCCTATACTACTTGAAGAAGGCCCTTGGGGTATACCCATAGTTAATGTGGTAGGTTGTGGGTGATAATCTAGGAATCAAGACTGAGGAGAGATAAGAAAGGTAGGTCAGAATGGTAACAGGACTGAGCCTTTGCTGCTGCTGGGTGGTCATTTGGTGGGGCAGTGGTCGGCGTCTGCTGGGTGGTTATGATTCTGGCTACACCAGACCTATTCTCAGTGGTCTCCTTATGTAACTTATATGCTCTTACTCATGGCTTCATACACTCTTCATATTTGAGAGAAATAATAAAAGAGACATCATACTGTGTGAATTATCTAGACACTTTCCATTTTTCATATGATATCCTGGAATACTTTATTGTATACTGTATTTTAAAAGTACATTAAATCCTGTCATATTTTTTAAAGTATGTGCTTTTTTGATTTGTTATGACCAATTCAATCAACATTAAAGACTTATTATGCGCAAGGCTTTCTCTTTGGTGTTAGGGATACAAAGACAAAAGCAAAACAGCTCAGACCATCAAGGTGCTTCCTTATTGGGGGAATATAACCTATCCACAGAAGTAAAAAATGTAAGGTAGAGAGGGAGTGCCAACAATTCGAAGAATCTGAGCCTTAATTTTTAGAGGCAGAGTTGAGAGAATATATTCCAGTTGTATTCTAAAGGAAGATGGATTGTACAGATACACAGAAGTGGGAGATGGAGTATTGAATTTGAAGAGCATCTAGTATTATGGTTTGACTACAGCACAGTTTGCAAAAAGTAATATAAATACCTCTAGAAAGGTTGAGTTTGAGATGCTGATGGAACATGCAGTATGAAGATTCTTAACAAGTAGTTGCTGAGAATGATTGTGAATTCTGGAGAGAGGTGGGGTGGATGCCTTATCATTTCAGTTTCTTCTGAAAAATTATGTGCTTATCTTTATTTTTACACTAAAATTTATTAGTATATAAGGAGGCACCTAGGTAACAGTGCATAAAGCACCAGGCCTAGTGTCAGGAAGATCTGAGTTCAAATGTGGCCTCAGACACTAACTAGTTGTGTGACCCTGGGCAAGCCACTTAACTGTCTCAGTTTTCTCATCTGTAAAATGAGCTAGAGAAGGAAATGGCAAACCACTCCAGTGTTTTTGCCAAGAAAACCCCAAATGGGGTCATGAAGAATTGGATACAGCAAAAACAACTGAACAGCAACAAAGTACATAAGAAATGCTATATTGGGTGAGACAAAAACCTATATATTTCAGGTCTTTGGCAGTGGTGTGAATGCCTCCGTTACTTCAAACTTGGAAAGTTAAGATTAGGCCTGGAAAATCCATAACTTTTCCTTAACGTGTCATAGTTTTGCCATGTATCATTTTTAAAAATTAAATCTTTCACTAAGAAAAAAAGAGGCTGTATTACGTTTAAATAAAATGTGAGAGGAGATGACACAGTGATATAAAGGCAAAAGGCATGAATAAAATATTTTCAAATAAATTAATAGTTCCTCCAATATGATCAGTTGGAAGTTAAATGGAAAGAATGGAAAGATATTTAAATGGAATTTATGTGTGTAGTTAGCTCACCTTTCGCCTGTCTGCTATCCTCTCAATTTCTCTTTTCCTTACTTTTAAAAAAATGATGTTTAACTTTATTTACATCAGTTGTTTGCCAATATACACTCTTACCCCATTGAATTCTCCCAGGAAATAATAACAGTTAAGCAAAATCAACCATCAGTTGAAAAAGCAAATGATTCTTTTTGCATATGCAGTAATCTGTACTTGCAATTCCCTTCCTCCCTACTGAGAGGAGCAGTGTGTATGTCAGCCTTTTTCCTGTCATATACTTTTTTTATATTGTTCTTTCTTGAAACATTTTCTAGATTAATGAATTTCATATGCAGTCTGAAGTATAAAGTGACAATTATTTTTAGTTGATTCTAAAACATCCTCATTCAAGATTGGAGAAAGATCTAGTTCTTATGCTCTCCAATCTATACAATCAGTATATGTTCTTTCTTAAGGCATTGACTTTGATCATATCACTTCTCGAAGCCATTATGCTTCTGATCTGAAGAATTTTAATCTTTTTAGTTTATTCTCATATAGAAGGCTCTTTACCTTCTGAGTACTTTTTCCAGTTCTTTTCTAGTTCCAGTTATCTGTATTGAGGTATCAACCAAAGTTGCACATTGTAGTGCATGTGCAGATACACCTTGGTGTTTTGTTTTTACTGAAGCACTTTCTTTTGTGTCTGGCTTTTTATGCAAAAGAACAAAATAATTTCTTTTAAAAATTTTCTTCTGGAAAATTATCCATAGTTAAATGAAAAATAGTGTCTTTGCACATGAATAGCTCCTTTCTTGTTTATTTGTGTCTTGAGATGATAATATACTTTATAATATCCCTGTTGGAAGAGCAAACTCAAACAATATTCACTTTTAAGAGAAATAGAAGGTACTTGTGAGAGAATGGCATTTGCTTTAAAAAAAAACCTAAGGCTGTTGAAATTTATTTTAACTTGACTAGTATCAGTTCCTTTCATTGACACTACAGGAAGGAAACAGTTTCACATAATCCAAAGCCACAAGTAATCAAAAACCCAGTACATTATATATTTTGTTCTTGTTGTGTAAAAGAAAAATGCCCTTCCGGTTTTGCTTAGCCTCATTAAAATTGGTGTGTGTTCTTCTAAGTACCATTGACTGAGGAGGCCAGCAGTGAAGTATAGTAAAAGATTTGTTGGTTGATAGGAGGATGAGGCAGCCTGGGACTGAATATTAACTGCAGATAATACGTGAAGTAGATAATTTATATGTGGATAATTGAAAAGCTGATTGATTTAATAATGAAGAGATGTTCTTTTTTTAATTAATTTTTAGTTTTCAGCAATCACTTCCATAAGCTTTTGAGTTTTAAATTTTCTCTCCCTCCCCAAGACAGCATGCAGTCTAATATAAGCTCTACATATACATTCCTATTAAACATATTTTCACATTAGTCATGTTGTAAAGAAGGACTAGAACCAATAGGAGGAACCGCAAGAAAGAAGAAACAAAACAAAACAGAAGAAAAAAAAAGAGCAAATGTTATGCTTTGATTTGCATTCAAACTCCATAGTTCTTTCTCTGGATGTGGATAGCATTTTCCATCGTGAGACTTTTGGAAGTGTCTTAGATCTTTGCATTGCTGACAAGGGCTAAGTCTATCACAGTTAGTTGTCACACAATGTGGCTGTTACTATGAGCAACATTCTCCTGGTTCTGCTCTCTTCACTCAGCATTAGTCCGTACAAGTCTTGCCAGGTTTTTCTGAAGTCTGCTTGCTCGTCATTTCTTATAGCACAATAGTATTCCATTACATTCATGTACCACAACTTGTTCAGTCATTCTCTAATTGATGAGCATCCCCTCAATTTCCAATTCTTTGCCACCACAGAAAGAGCTGCTATAAATATTTTTGTACATGTAGGTTGTTTTCCCATTTTTTATGATCTCTTTGGGATACAATCCTTAAAGTGCTGTTGCCTGAGTCAAAGGATATGTATATTTTTGTAGCCCTTTAGGCATAGTACCAAATTGCTCTCCGAAATGGTTGGATCATTTCACAACTCCACCAACAACGCATAAGTGTTCCTTTTTTCCCACATCATCTCCGTTTATCATTTTCCTGTTTTATCACGTTGGCCAATGTGATAGGTGTGATGTGGTACTTCAGAGTTGTTTTGATTTGCATTTCTCTAATCAACAGTGATTTAGAGCATTTTTTCATATGACTATAGATAGCTTTAATTTCTTCATCTGAAAACTGCCTGTTCATAACCTTTGACCATTTATCAGTTGGGGAATGGCTTATATTCTTACAAATTTGACTTAGTTCTCTTATGTATTTTAGAAATGAGGCCCTTATGAGAGATACTGGTTTTAAAAAATCTTTCCCAGTTTTCTCCTTCTCTCCTGAGATGTTCTTTTAGAAGCGTTTTCTTATGTAAAATCCTCATCTTTAAAGTTAGTGAAATAATAAACAAATTTGTGATGAATTTTTAGTTCTACTTCTTATCATCTCTGAGTTGAAAAAATTTAAATCAGATCATCGCAGGGATTATTTTGAAAATTTCATTAATTTGAATTTTTCTAAGTACCTAGCCACAGAGTAACAGAATATAATATCCAAAACCTAGTAACACTGAAAATAATACTGTTCAGAATATTGTTTATTATGAACAGACATGTCTTAAAAGGCTTAGGATTTGTCAGTCTTCAGGGAATAGCTTTCAGTATCACTAATGTATAAGAGTGTATAAACCCATTGTTTAAATTAAACTAATACTTCTCTTTCTTTTCTCATTTGTGCTGCATCAGAAGAAGTCCAATCACTCAGATCTGTTTAATGATGAGCATCGAGAGAGGCATGAGGTGGAAATGTTGGCTAAGAAGTTGGAAGCAAAATATGTGAGTATCGTTATTCCTTGGACAGAGCTGATTGTTTTCCTTATTTGCTTGCTTACTTGGTGGGCCTTTGGATAAATTTGGTATTACAAGCTTAGAAGTCTCTGTCTGTTCAGCCTTGGTGCCTACAAATTGCTTTTGAGTAATGGTGTGGTCAAAGGGAAGTTCCCTCGAAGTGTAATATTCTTCTACTGCCACATGAATATTTGGAGACACCATTTTACTTTCTTGTACTTTGTGGTTACTAAAGGCTATGTCAGCTTTAAAAAAAATCTCCTCAGGGACAGGAGATGTTAGCCCTATTCCCAATCCTGCCACACAAAGAGCTATAGAATTTAAAACTAGATGGAAATTTGGAGATTCTGTAGTCCAACCTGCTCATTTTACGTGTAGCTCTTACTTTCTTGAAAGGATAGTTATTGTTCTGGCTAATAATCATTTTCCCTTCTGGTAATAGCAAAATGGAGATACTCAAATATGTGGTTAGGATGGGGTGTTTCAGTTTTAGGTTGAAGTTTTTCTTCTTCCTTTTTGCCTTTTGTTTGGAGAAGGGGACTGGCCGAGTTTGTTGCTTTTAATTACTTCATAATGTTTAAGTATTTAAAATCATGTATCTTCCAAGATTTTCATTCTTTCCACTACCCCGTATTGCAGCCTATATTTAGTATTTGCTTCAGAGATCCGTTCTTTTATTCTTTTTCATCTAGTATATCTTGCCTGCCTTAATATTTGTGTTCTTGGAATCATCTGTTATCATTCCCCATGCACCATGATAAATTCTGTTCTGTGCACTTCAAAGGGATACCAGTGAGAGTTGAGAAGGGAATTTGAGAGTTAAATAAGTAGAACCTATGAAGAGTTTTCACATCATCTGTGGTGAAGGTCTCATAAAAATGGAAGGAAAATATGTAGGGGTATGTTCATTCTGGAAGTTGGTGCTGGTGTAGATCTTCTAGTTAAATCCTTTTTAGTGATGCTGGTATTGAGCTTCATTTTATTGTTGAAAACATTTAGATGGCAGTTTTGGGGGTGTGGTAGGGAGGGAGCTGGCATCCTCAGCAAATGCCTAGCTGTTGCTGGAACTAGAGAAGAAGTTATAGTAGAGCAGCAGCTTAGCCATTTGCAAAGGAATCTATTCTCCCTTACTGTAAATGCTATGAGAAGAAACAATACGATTAAAGGATATAGTTCAAGTGAACACCCTTCTATCAAGTTTGTGTTTTTTTCCTGTTCTTCCTTGTTTTCTTACGTCTTGCTTCCATATGTTGCTGTTAGGATAAAGTAATGCTACTGGTAATAATAATACTAAATACTACTGTAAATAAAATAATGATCATATATATTTGGAGGAGAAAAGGCACTGTAGCTGTTGAACACTTTTATAATATGCTAGACATCAATTGCTATGCATAAACTTAATTCAATATTTTCCATTTCAAAAAATTTCTCATTAGAAAAAGTTCACTCTTTAATTAGTCTTTGTAGTGCTATAAGAAAGGAATGTGATTAAGATCATAGGCTTCATTCCCACCTGATTCTGAAGCTGAAAGTCTTAGACTGAGCTGCCTTTTGTACCTGCTGCTGAAGAATCCTTGTTACCTGTATAGTGGTCAGGAAGTTCTCTAGAGTAACAAATGGAGTATCTGAGTGGTACAAAGGGGCGTGTATTCTTCCAGATCCAAAACTAGAGAAATCTGTGTTTGGAAGATCTGCTCTGCTTGCTGTTTTATTCCTTTATCTCAGTTAAATCTATGATGCTGAAAACCATGATGTTCTGGTTTGACGTCCTTTTAAAGAGATTCAGCTTCTCTTCTGCCACAGTTATTTATTAGGGCTTGTGAAAACTCTCAGCACTGTGAAAGTATATGAAGTGTGATGACAACGTGTCATGACCTGGATTTGGAATTCCTTTTTTGGACTGACTTCAGAGCCTGTGGTAAATTGTTTTGAATAGCTTCTATGTGATAAATTGACAACCCTAAGAGTGCATTTGATGTTTCTAAAGAACCAGAAGGCATTTTGTAGCCGAATCAAGAAGGTAATCAAATAAAAAAGATGTATAATAAATTAATGTGATTGGTTTTCTTTGGCTCATTAACTGTCTCTGAGGACAGTTCTAAAATTCTGAAAAAATGGCTGTATTGCACGCGAACACACACACGTATATATGTGGACTGCTAGCTGGCTAATTTGAAAGGGTCAGCAGTCTTTTAGGTGTCAAACCATGGCTTGCTTAAAACAGCAGCAGCCAAAACCTAATTCCATTATTTTATAGCTGGGCATTGTATTAAAATAGTTTGGATTGTTGAAGTTCTTAATTCTTCTGAATGACTTAGCTTAGCATCTCTGTCTTTTCTTGGCTATAGCAGATTATTAAGGGCAGGGTGTTTAATCTTCTTTTCTGAAAAGTTTTAAGCATTAGGTAGGATAGTTATGTAATTAACCAGTCTTCTGCACGACTTGGATTTATTAAAATTGTTCTCAGGGAGGTGGCTGATTTGTTGGAATGAGTCAGTGGGTCAACACAGATTTATCAAGTGCCTACTACGTGCCTACCAAATGTAAAAAGTCTTTGCTCTCAAGGAGCTTACGTTATTTTTATTTTAAATATGCTTTTTGTTTTTTATTCTGAATTTGGACAACACCAACAATTACAAGCATTTCCATATACATAAAGCATCAGAAAAGGGATTGTACATGAAGTAATGAATATTATGCATACCTTTTTTTTTCTTAAGTTACAAAGATAATAAATTCATCACATAAGTTCCAAAGCTGCCCTACTTGTCTTTGTTTTCCTCTGAACTTCCTTGTTCTCTTTCCTGTGTATTTAAAAAAATACTTCACGGATATTGTAATTTTCTTTTCTTTTCTGGCATCACTATCACTAGTTCTCCTTTCCTTCCCCTTTCTTCCCTGCTTGCAAAAATAAAGAAACAAAAACCCAAATTAGAGTCCTCTCTTATAACAAAAATAGTCAAGCAGACTTGGTATCTGAAAGTGTGTGTGTCATTCTTTACCTCTGGTCTGTCACCCTTCTCTCCAGAGGTGGGGAAATTGTTTTATATTTAGCTCTCTGAAGTCGTGGTTGATCATTGCATTGATTAGAATCGTTGAATTTATTTTTAATTCAGAACTTAAAATGCCCCCCAAAAAGCACATTTCCATAGGTGTAGTAGAACAGAGGATTTTGTATGAAATTATGAATCTCCATTTCCTACTGTTTGCTTTTTAAAAGAGTATTTAATCTTTCTACCTTACTTTTAAAACTATCCTGCTTGTCTGTACTTTCTTCTGAACTTCTGTTTACTTCTGTGCATTTTTTTGTTGTTGTTGTTCAGTTATTTCAGTCATGTCTGAATCTTTGTGACCCATTTGGGGTTTTCTTGGTAAAAAAACTGGAGTTGTTTACCATTTCCTTTTCCAGCTCATTTTACAAATGAGGAAACTGAGGCAAAAAGGGTTAAATACCTTGCCCAGGATCACACAGCTAGTATCCAAGGCTGAATTTAAGGTGGGGTCTTCCTGACTCCATCCAGGCCTGGCACTTTATCCACCATACCACCTAGTTGCCTTTAAAAAAATGTTTAAAATGGCTCTCTTTTTGGGGGGAAGGGGTATCACTATTGCTAGGCACACTCAGCAATTAAAAACTGAAGGAAAAAACCCCCAAAACCTTGTAACAGATAAACAAAGGCAGAATTGAAGGCAGTTGGAATTCAATCTCAAAATGGGAGTAAAACATCTGCCCTGCTAACCTCAGCCCAACTGTGGCCATTGCTGCCACTGGGGGAGGAGGAGGTTCATGGTCCAAAGAAACCAAAGCAGTTAAGAAAACTGTTTATTGATGGCTTGAACTTCAGATCTATAGATGGTAGTTCAAGAGAACCCTTTGAAGAATGAGAGACTCATAGAACATATGGTGATGAGACACACAAAACATTCCAGAGACTTTGACTTTATGACTTATTCTTGTGTAGAAGAGGTAGATGCAGCAATGTGTGCTCAGTGACCTAAGGTTGATGGTCATGTAGTCTAACCAAAGTTAACTGTTTCTAGAGAGGATTCTATAAAACCTCTGGTATGCATCTAACTGTGAAGAAAGTTTTTGTTGGTGATATTAAAGAAGACACAGAAGAATATAATATAAGAGACTTCTTTGAAAAGTATGGCAAGATTGAAACCATAGAAGTTAAGGAAGATTGGCTGAATGGAAAGCAGAGGATTTGCTTTTGTAACTTTTGATAATCATGATAACAGTTGACAAAATTTTTATTCAGAAATATACTATTAATGGGCATAACTGTGAATTGAAAAAGGCCCTTTCAAGGCAAGAGATTTAGTCTGCTGGCTCACAAAGAGGTTGTGGAGGTGATTTGGGCGATTTTGTGAGTTGTGTAGGGAGCTTTGGTCATGGTGGAAATTTTGATGGAAGAGGTGGTGATGGCAGTGGTGGTAGTAGTAGTAGCACAGGCAGTTCTGGAAGTAGAGATTAGTGGATATGATGAATTTGGTAGAGATAGTGGCAACTGTGGAAGTAATCCTGGCAATAATAGTAGAGTGGGTTTAGGTAGTGGTGGTGGTGAAGGATATGATGATAGAGAAAATTTTGGTGATAGTAACCATGATTGCAGCAGGAATTATAATGATTTTGGAATGAGAGTAGACAGCAGCAATCAAATTATGGACTCATGAAAGGGGACAGTTTCAGTGGAAGGAGATTACGTGGTCTGGTGGTGGAAGTGATGGATATAGATCAAAAAAGTATAAAAACTCATCAGAAGAAGGCTACAGGTTTTAGTAGGAGAATGAGTAGTCTAGAAACCTTCAACTTACTTTGACAGTCATCTTACATGCATTAGAAGAACTTCAAAAATTTGCCACAAAAGGAGCATGATCCATAGTCAGAAAAATTACTTCTGCTTAAGCAGGAAACTCTTCTTATCAGAACTGTCATAAACACAGTTTGCAAAAATGCAGCCATTGATTAATAGGTCTTTTAT